TAAGATCAGGTTTGATAAAATTAAAGATTTTTTTAGCTAGTGGTGTATTAAGATAAATATTAGGTTCTATTTGAGTAATAATAGGAAAGTTTTTAAAGAAATCAAAGAGAGGAACTTCTTCTTTTTCTTTTTTGTTATCATCTTTGTTATTATTATTTTTTTTGATTTCATTTTTATTTTCTTCAGTATCTTTTGACTGTTGTTGTTGTTTATTTTGTTGTTGTTGATTTTGTTATTGTTTTTGCTTGTTTTTTGAATTTTGTTTATTTTGTTGTTAGTTTTATTGTTGTTTTAAGGTTTTTTCAGTCTCAGTTTTTGTATAAATTTTAAGAGCCTTAACGTATCTAATTTTTTCTTTTGCTGGCAATATTGCAATAGCTGCTAAGAGTACTACAATTTTTTGTTCCTTGTCGAGTAGTTTAGTTTGAGATAAAGGTTTATTTAGGATTATTGAAAGTTTAGAGATATAGCTACGATAGATAAGATACTTGTTTTTGAGAAGAATAGCAATAGTATAATTTGGTGAATGCTCTTTGTTTTTGGTATCAACGCAAGGCAAGTCCTTAATTTTGCAGATTATACAGGTATAAGTATAGTGAGTGTGAGCTATGATAGAAATAGGATTTTTGTTAGTATTAAAAACTGGAGAAAGTTGAAGAGGATTAAAAAGTTGTGAAAGTTAGATTTTAGGAATAGGTAAAGCAAGAAGTTTATCAGTAATTGAGTTGAATCGTTTGTTCGAGATAGTTGGAGAGATATCCATTGAAGAAAATACAGCAGAAGAACTGAGAGTAGTAGCTTTGATTTTATAGAATTGTGAAATAAAATTTGTATAGTATTTACTACACAAGCAAGTGATATAGATTGGTTGCTTAGGGATCATAAAGTGATGCATTTTCTTTTTAGCACTAGCATCACAGGTTGTTGGTTGAACCTCTGCTAGCAGAATTCGAAAAGATTCTAGATTTGTTTTGTTCATTCCAAGAGCATATTAATTTTTGTATTTAGAGTAATAATAATCAATGTTGTATGAATCAGGTTCAGTTGAAGTTAAGGTAGGCATTTTTGAATAGATTAAAAGGTAGTATAGAGTTGTAGTATAAGCTTGCAAAAAAAATCATGTAAAACGGACTAAAATTGGTAAAGATAATAAGATTTAAAATAAAGTTTTAGTGAAATTTCCTAAAGACTAGTAAAATTTCTAGGTCTTGTGAGCAGAATCCTGTAATCTGGATTCTCTTAAGGTTATAAAAATAGTAAAAATTCCAGGGCAAGCCAGTAAAATTTTCAAAATTGCCACAGATAATTTTTAAGTGATCTACAAGTATTTGTTAAGCCTTTAAACAGATTTTTGAGAATAGATTACTGAGTTTTGGTTCGTTTTTAATAAAAAATATACCAAAATGAAGCTCTAATACAGGAGAATCTAACTCTTTTAATAGACAAGAGTTGTTGAATTAGTAAAATTTTAAAATAATTGAGAAAAACAAAGTAAACCAGAAATATATAATTTCTTTTTAAAATTTGGTTCAGAAAATGTAAAAATAGATCACTAGAGGTAAAATTTTATGCTTAACAACTTTACTTAGAGGCCCAAAGATAGTTTACTTAATAAAGTTTTAAGATATTTTGAAAAAACTAAAGAAAAATAGTATATTTAATATCTCCACAAAAAGAGGTCTGAAGAGAATAAAACTAGACTGCCCTGAAGTAAAATTTTGTTGTGAACAACTTTACTTAGTAGCCCAAAAGTAGTTTTCTTAATAGAATTTTGAGAAATAATTAAATATTTGCAAGAAATTTTGGTACAAGTGATCTTTAGAAAGAGTTACTAAATTGTGTCTTGAAATATTATTTATAACATCTATGTTATATAACACTTATATATAATAATTATGTAAACTAAATTAGAATAAAGGTATAGATTTTTAGTATATTATATATTTAATAATATGGTATTATATAGCATAGTGTTATAAATATAACTTTTCTTATTACGTATATAATTTTTCAGATAAATTTGCTTACAAATTAAAAAATAAATTTAAATACAAATAATTAATAAAAAAAATTGTAATAGAAGTTATTTAAATTTAAAAAATATCAAATTATATATCTTTAATATAATACTATAAATCAGCTAATATATACAAAATTTCTACGTATTATTTTTATACGTATTGCATTTTACTAGTTTAATAATTATTTTACGTACCAATAGTAATTGATTGAAAGCATAATAAAATCAATAGCTAAAAATAGTTATGATTGTTGTTTTTTTAATTATCGCAATTTCAAATAATTGACAAATGCGTCAATTTCGCCGCATCTAGTTACCAAAAAAAGATTTCAATTTGACTACGTATTACGTAGAATTAATTTATAGTTATATAAAAATATTTTATTATAACTTCTATTTATAGGAATGCAGGCTTTAAATTATATTTACACATGATTAAAAGACCGATTACTCTGATTGGAATCGAGAGATCAATCAGTTATCCGTTTCTTATTTAAAATTTAGCATATAGAGTCTTTGCCTTGAAAATGACGTAGTAAATCATATGATCAAAACTTGATTTTCAAGGCAAATACCTCATATATCCGGTATTCTACAATAATTTGTTTATAAAATTTTAAACCAATAAAACTGGTAAAACTAGCAGATTTCCAGATCGCATAAATCACGCTATAATTTGTAAATCCGCTATCGCTATGTAGATTTAGATTATTATAAAATTATAAATTAGATGTTTAGACTTACTAACCCGATATTTTTATCTCAAATTTTTATTTATAATAATTGTAACAATGCGAACAAAATTATAGAAAAAGATTTTACATTAAAATGCAAGAAAAAATTATTAAATTACGTGAGATTTATTTTTAATTCATGTATAAATTCGTTCTTTACTATGAATTGATACTCCGACTGATCTACAAGTTTTTGAAAATTTATATTTAAAAACAAATTTTTAGAAATCAACGTGTGTTTATCCCCATTAACTGTCATAAGATGACCCATATTATTATTAACGTTAAAACTTCATATATGAAAATTTAGAAATAGCAATAACAATTCAATTTTGTTTAAAAATCTACAGATTGACAAAATGTTTCGAATTGACAAAATGGTCGTTGTTTATAAGTTAATTTCCTAATATTTATAACTTGTGATAAAATTGTAGCATTCTTCATCTCATAATTTATTAACTAAAAACCATACGTCGAACTCTCGAATATCTAAAATTCTGCTTGGAAATGTCTCGCACCATCCTTTTTTATATGATTTTTGCCAGTATTGTGGCTTCTGTTATTGCAAATACTTATGTGGTTAATGTTGGTGAAGATAACAAAAACCAATATGTTCCGAATACCGTCAATGTTCTCAAAGGCGATATAGTAAATATTAAATATTTAACGAATGATTAATTAATAATAATCTATGCTAATTAAAATATTTTTTGGAATTTGATATTCTAGGTCGCATTTCATTTCGTTGGAGGACAACACGATGTCATTCAATCTGATTCCTTCACCAGTTGCAACAAAATAGCCAATGCTTGTATGTAATTTTTTATAAATATATTTGATTATTAATAAATTAAACAAAATATTTATACTGTATATTTTTTTTAGTCGATTCTGGTATAAATCCAAGTACCAGTTGGTATAACTATACTGTCACCTTGGACAACGGCAAAATTTGGTTCTTCTGCAGTGTTGGCACACATTGTAAATATTCTAACATGACTGGAGTAATGATTGTTGGAGATGGAATTTCAAACAACTCCACTAGCGATTCAAAGAAATCCATTAGCGTTGTTACAACACCTTCAGTTTCTACAATCTTTAGTATTTTAATATCAAGTACCATTGTGGCTTTTTTCATGTTTAATTAACTATATTCGTAGAATTTTAGATAAACTTAATTGATATTTTTTAATTACATTAATTGTTCTAGGTGCACACCTAAGTAAAATTTCTCGCTATTGTCGAGATCGTTAACTGATGTCGCGAGTTTATTATTATTATTATTATTTTAGGATCAGGTGTAACGTTCTAACAAAAAAAAATTCCTCGCTAAGTTTTGCCTAGATAAAATCCCAAGCCTAACCCTAATCTTAATTGTGGGTTTTATTTTTATAAAAAAAAGTATTTTGATACGTAGTCACAATATACCTGATCTTACATGTAGCCTATGGCTATAAATACATTAATCCATAAATTTTATTTTATTTTTCTATTTATTTTGTTTATTGTAATTTCGCCTCGCAAATTATTGTAAGGCATAATTGTTATCGTGTCAAACTAAGATTATTATCGCGTAAGGTATAAAGGTTTAATATAATTCGGGTAAAAAACTAAAAATTCGAGAAGGGAAGAAGTGAGTGAGAGCTCTTTAAATAGTTTTTGAAAGATAAAAAAAACTTCCTCGTCTCTTGAAGAAAGGCAGGCCCATAATCCTCACTTATAAAGGCTTGAGAACTTCTTAATGATTTCTCAATTATAACTTAAAATATAAATAGTTTTCTGTGACCTTTTATTATAAACCGTAAGTTGATTTCGTCCGAACCTTTTAGTTCGTGAGTTATTTTTGTGTTCGCATTATTATTAGTATTAAAGTAGTGTTGCATAGTGAGCATTTAGAATTAGATATATCACTGTAATTCGCATCCCTCGTGATTTACACCCCGTGATTATACTCAGGTACTATTTTTCTTATGATAATTTTCTTTCAGTTACATTAAGAATATTATTTAAAATCTAAACTTTTATTTCATGGCGGAGTTCGTAGTAAAAGCAAAAATCGCAATTAATTCGTAATTGATTTCAATTATTTTTCATAATAATTTTTAATTGATTGTATACCGATACAGTATATAAGAAGAAATTTAATTGCAATTGATTTATCGGCACATTTTGGTCAAATATAAATTAGAGACTTGTCCCATTAACTATTTGAGATCATGTTTATTAAATTTATATAATCTAAGTTTTTAATATTGTGCAACAAACTACATATTTTTAGGATAAAATAAACTATTTAAATACTACGTACGTATTAGAAAAACAATAATAACAGATAATTATTAATCACATCTTTTTGGCAGCCCACTTCTGCAACATTCGCAGTTTGCGCCCCAGGTTGAATGTTGAAAACAGTTATAGAAACACCACTAGTACCTTCATATGTATTGCAGGTTGCCAGATTCAAACATCCAGCACAAACTAACCAGGCATTGCCAATACATTGTCCTGGGGCACGAATGTATTTATTAGTTGAAGGGTTGCGCAAAAAAAACCACTAACACAATCCGAATCAACTGTGCTACGGTATATTTACTGTTTTTACAGGTATGACACAGCAAATATGTTTATTTAGAGACAGTTAACAAAGGATGTTGATCTTGTTAAAAGGATAGAAACAAAATAAATACATACGATATTATTACAAGATCCACAGTTTGTTTGTCAGAGGTGGTGTCAACGCAGATATTATTGCAGAGTTAGTTTGTTGGGGCAACAAGTTAATTCGATGAACATCCGTTAACCGTTAGCATAGTTTTCTTTTTTTTTTTTTTTCGACCATTCCCATGCATATAACAATTTACAATATAATATATGGCTTGACCATAGATTTCAATATCTTCTTTTTGATTAGAACGAGAACGTCTTTTACAAGATAATTGTTTAAATTAAAAGACTATAGGTCTCTTTGTATTTCCCATTATTATTATTTTTTTTTTGATGTTAAGGTGAGTACTCAGCTTAACTTTCGTTTATTTTTTTTTTTTTTTTAATTCAGCAGTCATGCCAAGACTTTATTTAGTTTTGCTTTCTGTTTGAAAACAACATTATTTAGCTATATACTATCTAATGTCTAATTTTTTAAGTCCTGACTCACCCGGTTATTCCAAAGATATCTATGTGCAATCTGCTATAGTAACCTTTGTCTTATACTAAGGTAGCTAAAAAAATAGACTACAAACTAATATAGGAAAGATGCTACAGCTTATCATGACTACTTTTACATCCAATTGGTTAAAATTCTCTTCTTTATTTCTTTTGCTATGCTATCTAACGCTATTTTAAGACTAATATTACAACTTTTTGTATTCTCATCTAATCTGCAGTTTGTTTTTTTCCTTGATGACTTTTCTTTTAGAATGTTTTTTCTTTTTTTCTTCTGCGCGTATTTTTCTTTCTTGGAGATTTTTTCCTTTTTCTCTCAAGTTTTCATATCTTTGCATCAGTTTTTCTAAACTTCCTTATACACTAGTTCTATTCAGATATTCCAAAACAGGCTCCAGAATCTAGTTGTCATGCTTTCAAATTCTATGATATTTTTGATTCTTTCAGCCTCTTCTTCACATAGTATATTTCTTAACAACTCTTTTCTCCTTTGTTGCTTCGTTTTTTGTTCATATTGGATTGTTTGAGCTATGTTCCTTAAATCCCAGTTTTTTTCTTTTCTTTTATCTTCATCAAGTCGTTTCTATGCTTCATCTTCAATTTTTTCAAGTACTTGATAGGCTTTTTTGCATGTGACTAAGTGCTCAATCGATTTTTTTTCCTTTAAGTATCTTTTGCATAAGTTATCTTTGTACAATTTCGGCTTCTTAAGGTTTAGCGTTTCTACTGTTGGTAAGATAACTTTCATTTATTAAGAATTATATTATTCATTACAACTAATATATATATTATAATTTCAAACTAATTCTATATATTCTTATTTAAGCTTAGGATGTATAGTACTAATATATACTATCTATTCTCGTACAAGACCTACTAGAGTAGTTCATAGTCCACATTATATATTACCTAGATTCTTATAAGTACTTTATCTCTTGTAAGACTACTGTTTTATATTCATCATATCTCTTATACTCCTTATAAATAACTCTTAAATTGGTAACTAGATGAGGTGTTCATAATCTTACAGCTATTCCTAATTTGGTGCAGTTTGAGTTGCCATAACAACAGTATTCTAAGATATAGACTCACTCAAATGTAACATCAGAGATAAGTTGTATGTACACTAATTTCTGTTTATAGATACTTTTATATGTTAGTAGGGTCTAGTATATGTTTCACAATATAAGTTGCTTCTAGCTATAGATTTTGTAATACAGATGTACTACTACTATATAATTAGTGTTCTGAAGGACTAATGTATCTTTATTTTTTATATTACTACTACTAGTCCAATATGTTATACTATTTCGAGTTTTTACAAGCATATTCTGAATTTTGGTCTACTCTCTATATTATAGTATTTACTCAATTAGAAAACTTATAGTTACTTTTGTCAATGTTCATATAAACCTAGTTCCTGCTGTAGCTCTCTACTAGATATAGTTCTCCAAGATTTCAGATGTTTTATAAAGTAGATCTTCCTAATCTAGTTAGCTACCAAGCCAAGTTGGTGTTGTTACTAATGTAAGACACCAGGCTGTATTTTATAGTAAACTTACTTGTATTTGCTCAATCTATATTTTCTATACTCAGATTTTTCACTAGATCAAGTATTAACTAGCTTAACTATTAAAATCTATACTACTTTACCAAACTCAAGATTTTTACTATACAGATCCTCTGCTTATAGATCCTATTAAGATTTATTCATGCAATATAACTCAAACATTACGTCATACTTCTAATGTCTAATTAACATTAGTACAATGTAATTTATAAGGTTGTAACTCCAAAAACAGACAGAGTTTACTATAAGTTGAGTATAGAAATCTAGGTAATTATTCAAATTCATCAATAGTAGGATTTGAACTCAGATCTCTTGTATAGCAGTCTGACAACCTAACCAATACACTAAGATCACTAGACTTTGTATTTCTCATTATTATAATTTGTTTATAGATCTATTTATTATATAACTTAGATCTTCTTAGAATATATATTGTTCAATATATTGTGAGTATATAGAGCTCTAGTTAACCTCAAAAGTGATTTCTACTAGAGTAAATATATACTTTTTTATAGATTCATCTGATTTAAATTTATATAACTCTAGGTTCTACTATAGTTCTTTACTAATTAGTTAACCTAGTTCTTTTTTAATATCTAGTTAGTTATTTTACTCTTCATTCAGTAATCTCAAAACTTTTTACTTTTATTAGACTAAGTTTTTTTTCAAATAAGACTTTAGTTGATATAATTCTGTAGAAAAGTTGTATTATTTTACTAACTTAGAATTTTTACTATACAGATCTCTTACTTGTATATTTTATTAAGATTTATTCATATAGTATAATATTATATTATACTTCTAAGTTCAAATTGATTTGATATAACTTAATTTATAGAAATATATCTTTCAAAAATAAACAAAGTTTACTATAACATATTATAAAATTTAAGAAATTATTCAAATTTATCAACAGTAGAATTTGAACTTAGACTTTATTGCATAATAATCTGGTAATCTAACTACTATACCAAAATTACTAAACCTTTCTTAAAAAAATTTTTTGAATAATATTTTTGTTTAAGTAAAAAAAAATGTTAAATTAATAAAAATAAAATACTATAGTAAATCAAAAATATGTGATCTAAAAGAGTATCTTATAATCTAAATTTTCTTTAAATATTTGACTCTTTTTATATATACTTAATTAAGCTAGTAAAAAATAGTTGCTTACTTATAATACAAAATAATTATGATTCTTAGTGAACTTATATTTAAATTACAGTTAGTAGATATCAATATTAATAAAAGTTTTAAATCAAAAATTTATATATTTTATAATTATTAAATATTAAAAATATTTATAAATTAATTCTTTCAAGATATATTAAATAACTATTATATTTACTACTTATATTATCTCTTAGATTGTAGATCAATGCAAGCAAATTTGCTTGTGTTTTTGCATTTATTCAGCTCTGATTTACTTTTTTAAAATGCAAAAATATTAAAAAAATAATTATAGATAATAA